ATTGCTTGTGTATTCTCAACCATCTCTGTTTTAATATTGAACTGTCGAACAAACAGGTGAGAGGTGATACTCAGAAACAAGATTTAGGTCACGCCACAAAGTTTCTGCGCATATGTACACGGAATCTGTATTCCTATTGATGAATATGTACACAGAATTTGTATTACTATATATGAATATGTATACAGAATGTGTTTTTCTATATAAGAATATGTAGGGCAAACCCATGATAGTACACAACCCTCGATCGATAGTTCATAATGTTCAAGACAAATCCGAGCGAGGCACCTCGAAGGATCTCAACAATGACCGTATGTTGGAAACAAAGATCTCACCAACATATACTCAGACCCTCGCAATTGCCATATTATACCCCGTTATTTTAACAGCTGAGAAGCCACACCCGCTAGAGGCCGATATCCGACGTATGGCCGAGAGGCGGGGTGTCAAGCGGGTCAATAACCTGCGTGTCATTGGCAGCACTGGCCTGTTCTCTGCTTCGTGTAGTGGCCACACAGCCCTGCCCACCGGGGCAGTAATCAGACTGCCCATGGCTACGGTGGTAGGTATCTGAAGGAAGTGATGAGCGTGCATGTGTAGAAAGGGGTTGGTGTGTGTGTGAGTATATACATAAGGAATTGTGCTCTCTTATGTGTGTGGATAGGCTGGTGGTAATACAGGCTTGTTAATTGCCAAATGCTGCGTTAACAAACTGTAAAATTGTCACAGTTGTATGTATATATACAAAACTGTCTGCTATATCTACTGAAAGTGGTCTACATATTCCATTCCTTATCGGGTATGGTATCTAGATCCAAGAATCCAACAGTGTCATTGCTATGTGAATAGATGGAAAGTATGGGCTTCTTCGTGGTTCATCACTGCAGTGAACCACTCTCCCCGTAACCACAGGGGCGCCTATAGATATAAAATGCACTCGCGAATAGTCGCCTGACTCTAGTACTATGACACTCACAGAACAGAATTATCAGACTCGGAGCTTAACACGTGATGCTTCGAGTATACAAAGAGCCTACGGTACAAACAACGAAGAAAAGTTAATTCAACACCGGAGCTCATCTGTATACAAAAAACCACTAGCTTATCCTGTGTACATATATAGTTATACCCTGTGCACACAAATAGATATACCTACATACCTGTACTGTCCACACATATAGATATACCTACATACCTACCCTGTACACACATATAGATATACCTACATACCGTCCACATATAACAGGTGCCAGCGCTAGATCAAATCCCTATTTTAAATTCACCTACTGCCCTCATTCGATACTAGTACCGTGGTCTTAACCACTACCACGTAGTCCAGCTATAACACCTGTGAAACACACTACCTCCACTTGCAGGCGCCAGGGGTGCCGATAAACCGTTTGCTCGTCATAGGCGAGGCCGCACAGCCTACGGACGCAAACACCCAGGCTAACGAGTACTTTCTGTTCACCAAGGTTAGTGGAGTGGTCACTATTTGTAGTCGTAGGTATGAGTACCCATGCCAACGAGTACTTTCTGTTCACCAAGGTGAGTGGAGTGGTCTCTATTTGTAGTCGTAGGTAAGAGTACCCTTGCCAACGAGTACTTTATGTTCACCAAGGTGAGTGGGGTGGTCTCTATTCATAGTTGTAGGTATGAGTACCCATGCCAATAAGTACTTTCTGCTCGCCAAAGTGAGTGGAGTGGTCTCTATTCGTAGTCGTAGGTATGAGTACCCATGCCAACGAGTACTTTCTGTTCACCAAGGTGAGTGGGGTGGTCTCTATTCGTGGTTGTAGATATGAGTGCCCATGCCAACGACTACTTTCTGCTCACCAAGGTGAGTGGAGTGGTCTCTATTGGGAGTCGTAGGTATGAGTACCCAGGCCAACGAGTACTTTCTAGTCACCAAGGTGAGTGGGGTGGTCTCTATTTGTAGTTGTAGGTATGAGTATTGGTCCCATTCTCAAGCGCAGGGTTTGTAGGGGTTGAGCTTCACTTTGGCACTCGGCTGTGTGTTCCTTCACCAGGGCGTCTCTCCGGTGTGAAATCATATTCACATAGTCGGGTGCTGGTCCCCACAAGTGTGCGTGTCAAAGCTATCTACTTTACCTTTATCGCTGTCTACTGTGCCCTTAAAGCCAACTACTATACCCTTAAAGCTACTTACTACACCCTTAAAGCTACTCACAATCTCATCAAGTGTGTGCGTGAGAATGCCACATTTTTCCCTCAGAAAAAGCCTTCCCACAACCCTCCTATCTACTCCCTAACCCAAGCCCCTGGACTGTTTTCATCCCTACCGTGTTGTACCAGCCACTTTCGTGAGGTGTTCCAACCAGCTCATAAGCTGTAGCACACCACCAACTACCAGAGCACCCCAATGGCGCCTGCGCGTGAATGACCCCGCCTCTGAGGCACAAGGCAACAGAACCCCAACAGAACCCTAGTCCCTATACCTTATACCCTCTACCCTAAACCTTATCCCTTATCCCTAATCCCTAAACCTTATACCCTAAACCCTAAACCTTATACCCTAAACCCTAAACGTGTACCTTATCCCTCCCCCACCGTACTGTGCAGAAACAAGCGCTATTCCAAGCCGCCCATGAACTACAACATATCATCAACCTCGACACCGTCACCACCGGCCCTGTGACGGCCTTGTCCTTGCCCGTGTGCTACAAGGCGGTCGATGCTGTGTGGGCTAGCATGAAGCTCAGGCCTCTCATAGCCCTGCAGGTGTTAGCGGGGGCGCAGGTATACGCCATGTGGTCGTATCTGAACTTGTACATGGAGCGGTATAAGGAGAAGCGTGCGGATGAGGGGGCGGCACGGTACTCTAAGGCAATGGCCCAGGCGGGTATCGAGGTGAGAGCATTGGGGGGGGTGGCATGTCGCCTGGGGATATATTGGCTACCATGTGGATGTTGGTACGGGGGCACATGCTGTATATCTAGTATTATGGGAGTTATGGATTATACAGCATGCGCAGATTGTTTGAATGTCTGTACACGTGCACATGTATAGGATGTGTTATGGGAAAGGTATTATATGTGATGGTTATTATACAGCATGCGCAGCCTGTTTGAATATCGTGTGTAGCCTGTCTGTACACGTGCACATGTATAGGATGTGTTATGGGAAAGGTATTGCATGTGATGGTTATTATACAGCATGCGCACTGTTTGAATATCGTGTGTAGCCTGTTTGAATATAAAATATCGTACGCAGCCTGTTTTAAATCTGTACGCTTGCACATGATTACTTGTGTTACGAGAAAGGTGTTGCATGGGGTGGTTGCTGTGAGGTGGGAGATGTACTAACGTGTCATATGGTCGTTACAGGGCAGCGCGATGCACCACAGCCGTAACCTTACGCGTCCATGAATATATTTTCATGTGCTTGTTGTTTATTGATGTAGGGTTTTCATGTGCTTGTTGTTTATCGATGTAGTCGTTCGTGTGCTCGTTGTTTTTTTTTTTGCATGCATGGCCAGAAAAGTGACTGAGCTTCGATACCCATTTCTGCGACTGTTTTATTATTTTTGAGGGGGGGGGTTAGTATGTGTATTAACGGTGCTACGGAGGTACGCTTGATGTGGCATTTTCTTCTCTTTTAAGTGTGCAATCGTACCGGTCACTTGCAATCGTCTCAGTCAGTTCTAGGGCTCATGTCCTGTCTTTATACAGATGGATGTGTAGTAGCACATGCGTCCTACCTTTACAGCTACGTGTGTGATGGTTGTTCTATTTAGTTCTTATCTATGTATGTAGTCGATGTGCTTGGGGCCCAGTTGGTGCAGATGCTCTTACATATATATATATATATATATATGGGGGGGATATAGTTATCCAAGATATCTCCACCGTACACTACTTCTGATCCATAGTATAACACTATACCTGGTACAATAACACTATACCTAGTACTATACCTAGTACTATATCACCATGACCTATTACTCGTATACTAGCTCTCCATCAATCCTCTTGTACCCATCCATCATTCCGTCTCTTGCATTCCGTGCAATTATACCAGTTGTCAGTCAGTCCATTTCTCCCCATTCACCAACCCCGTCTATTCCATTCCGTACACTTTAACCCCCCCCAGCGCTTCGAGCGCGTGCAAGCACTAAACATACAGCAGCGTCAACGCATCAGAGACGCTCAGTGTCCTCAGGTGACGGATGAGAACAGGATCACGAGCATCACCACATTCGATGAATGGGGCAACGACACTCGCGACACCACACACGCCCCGTTAGACGAGAGGATAGATGTGATACGCGCGATTATGACGGCGTGAGTGTGAGTGTGAGTGTGTTTGAGCGTGAGTGTGTGAGTGCGTGTGGAGGGGGTTGATGTGTAGCAATCCCTTCGCATCCGATGGAAGGGCGAGGGAGAGACCATCTCGTTCGATGAGTAGAGCAACGATACACAGACACCGTACACTCACCGTTGACCGAGAGGATAGACATGTGTTGGGATTTTGTGTGAGAGGGATCATTCACAAGCGGAACTGTATAGTTGACAGCTGACGTGCGAGAAGAAGGGCAAAAGTGGCCCAATAATTGTTAATGGATAAAGATGGGGAACCACACCTAAGACAATGGACATGCACCCCTGGACGAGAGGAGGGACCTACTTTGTCCTATTGTAAGACAACAGCAATGCGTGAGAGTATGGATGTATAAGACACTTTATGTTCGATGAGAAGGGCAAAGGTGACCCCATAATTAATGGTCAATGGTTGTAGATGGGGGACGACACCTAAGGCAATGGGCATGCACCCCTGGACGAGAGGAGGGACACTACTTTGTCCTATTATCAGACAACAGCAATGCGTGCGAGTATGGATGTATAAGACTCTTTACATTCGATGAGAAGGGACAGGGGAAGGATGACAACGTTCGACGGAATGGGTAACCACATACTAACAACCTTAAGTCCATGGTAGATGAAATAGACAAGGGAATGATGCCCGAAATAGACCTTCTTCGTGGTACTAGTAAGGAGTGTAGATGCAGTTTACATGAGGTGGGTGCGTTACGTATAACACAGTTCGACGAGATGAATGCTGCCACGTTGGATGAGAGGATAGTGTCTTGTTTGGCTCTCCCTGTGATGAATCAATGCCATCAAGAATATGGCAGACATGATCCTTTGGTACATGCCTCGTGCTATGGTTATATCGGTGGTGCTAGGTTGGGCTCTAGGGTTTATAAAATTCTGATGGAAGGCAAAACTGCATCTTGCATAAATAAACGACACCAGTGTCTATGTGAACGCACCTTAAAATACGAGCTCGGTTCAACACATTGCAGTAAATACTTCTAGGGCGTGCAAACACAGCAAATGAGGGGACCATGCGGAAGGGCAGTAGGTATCTGCTATTCAGAGTTGTACTGTCAATCAGTAGTTGACAACCAAAAACGGTTATGTGAAGTGTATAGGTACACGCATGAAGTATTGAGCGCAGAGGAGAGTGCAGAACTTAGGATATAGATGTGAGTGAAAGGTGAGGTAGTGCCAATAGATGAACTATCACACAGTTTATGCTTGATACGAGCAGGTTCAACAACGGGTCTATGACACTCGATGAGGTGCCCAAATAGTGTGGTCTTGCACCTACAGTTTGGGTGCGTGGGCCAACCTTGCCCTTCTAAAGTATGTATATTTTAAGTTTTTTTTGTTTTTTGTTTTTTGAAACACCCTATTTTTTTTTAAACTAAATGGTGTTCAATTTTAGAGGGCTATGAAAATGAGGGCTATAAAAATAGCTTCAAAAAAAAAGTGGTTTTTCTTGTTTTGTTATTTTTTAAACAAAAAACAAAACAAGATCAATACATAAATCAAACAAGCAAATTCCTGCGACAACCTTGGTCTGTATTTGTTTATATGATTCGAATATAACATATACCTTCTGTAATCCTTCAGTGCTGCGTCTGTCGTACACACAGTACGCAACTGCGTGTAGTGCTTCTACTAGACTGTGCGCTTCATTAACTCCTCTATTGTCCTGTGGGGTGGGTCGTTCTACCTAGTTCTGAAAAATAGTCGCATTACATTGGTTCGTCTAGTACATGCACTTGGCTCTGAACCCAACCAAGAGTTCTATAATAACGAACAACACACGCACTTGCAATTGACAATATTAATAGGAAAATAGAAGTGGTAGTTGATTTCATTATTCACATGTAAATAACATCATCGATAGTCAGATGGGAGATATTTCATAGCATACATATATCTATATATAATCCGATGGACGAGACCAGTCCATGCATTCGCTTGCTTGTAGTAGGTGATAGTGGGGTGGGAAAGACTTCTTTTGTACACGCCCTCTGTCACAGAGAGGTCCCTAAGGATCCCTACGGCACTGTGGGCTGCAACATAGATGTCAAGGTATGCAGTGGAGAGTTATGTATATGTCTGTGCATTTCAAGATGGAATGCATGTGACGGTAATAGCAAGCTATATGAAACTTTCGTTCTTTGAATAAATATGATTTT